AGTTTTATTTAAGATAGGACTTGTGTCACTAAAGTTTTGTTGGAACGAATTTACGGAAAATTAACTAACGAATGGAGACGTAACAATAATCTTGTAGCAGCTTTTCAGCAGGTCATGAATGATTTTATTACCAGGAAAACCTTGTAAGGACTTGCGCATATATCGAAGATTTGACTGTATGTGGTGCAAGGAAGAGCATGATGACAATCTTAGAAAATTATGGCATGCTGCTACAAAGATGAACCTGATGTTAAGAAATGTACAAATTTGCTTTAACCTCTGTTATCTCCTTGATTATTCTGTATCTCATGGTGAAATAAACCCTTATCTTGACTGTCTTCAAGATTTTCCAATACCAAAGAATGCTAAATCACTCCAACATTTGCTTGCATATTACAGCAAGTGGATTTATAAGTAAATGGATAAAATTAAGCCACTAACTGGTTTGAAAGAATTTCCATTGTCAAAGTATGGAATGGGCACCATCCAAATGCTTAAATCTGACATATCTAAGGTTGTTGTGTATGTCGTCATGGATGATGTGCCCTTCACTGTGGAAACAGATGCATCTCATAATGCTATAGCCACTACTTTATTACATGATGGTAGACCAGTCACATTCTTTTCTAGAATGCTTAACAGCCCTGAAAAGGCTTACCATGTTGTTGTAAAGGAAGCAAATGTTAAAGTAGAGGCTATTAGACAGTGGAGGCACTTTTTGGCTGGTTGCCACTTTTGTCTGCTAACTGATCAACACTCTGTATCCTTCATGTTCAACACTAAATATTTGGGGAAGACTAAACATTATAAGATCATGTGATGGCAAATTAAGCTGGCTGATTATTTGTATGATATCTGATACCATTCTGGTGTGGAGTATTGTTCAGTCAATGCCTTTTCCTGAGTATTTTGTTCTACTTCAACTGTTTCTGCTTCTCTTGAGATATTGCATGCATCTATGAGTCATCCTGGTGTGCGTTGCATGTTTCATTTTATACATTTTCAAAACTTACCATCTTCTGTTGATGAAGTTCATAAGGTCACATCCTATTGTCTCATTTGTGTTAAATATAAAACAGTTTTATCAACCTGACAATACTCATTTGATGAAAACAATAGTGCCTTTTGAAAGACTTTATATAACATTCAACGGTCCTTTTCTGACGTCCTCATCGTCTGATATATACCTCTTGAAAGTTGTGGAAAAGTATTCCCAATTTCCATTTGCATTCCCCTGCCATGATTTAAGCACTTCTAACATGATAAAATGTCTAACCCAACATTTTTCTCTTTTGTCCACTCAGATCCAGGTACTTCTTTTATGTCCTCTAAACTCAGGAATTACTTTGCCTACCGTGGTATCCCTATGAGTGTGAGCACTATACTGGCACTATTTGAACTACTGTGTCTTTTGCACTAGAATGCCAAGGTTAAAAAAAGAACTCAAAAGGATACTGTCCTACCTGATGTACTTAACACCACACAAGTGTCTCTTTTTCTTATCCATGTAAAACTGCATCTGGTCTTGCTCTCCCTATATGGCTTTTGACTCCTAGACCTGTTCTTCTGAAATGACAAATGTCATTCTAAATATTAACCACAAGGAGACTCAATCGAACTAATAGAAACCAATCTCATTATGCCTACTTTAAGTTCCCTGGCAGTTGGGAAGATACCATATCAATCAAAGTTATTGCCCTTTGCAAGGGATGCACAAAAATTTTATTCAAGGAATCTCAACCTGAAAATGAATCATGTACCACTGAATCTACGGAGAACTCCTCTCAGGAAACTGATTATTTTGACACTTTGTAATCTTCTTCTAATAATCATCGAATTATTCATACTCCAGAAAGTTCTGTCCCTACCCTCAGTAGATCTGAGCAACAGGGCAAACCTGTCCAAGGACTTAACCTCTAACTTGTGTGGGGAAGAATGTTGTGATAAAGAAAACTTTATATATTTTATTGTGTTTATGTATTTTCTGGTTTCTATATTTGTCTATTCTGATTGGGTTTTGCTTGTTTCTTCTTTTTAGATGTCTCATTTTGATTGAATAAAGCCTTGTTTGTGATTTCAACTTTAATAGTTGTGTCATAACATACTTACATATATCATGATGTAGAAAACCACCAAATAGTGAGCACATTCCTGATATACAGCAGAATCAATTTTCTTGTAAATTAAGAAACCAAGTAAAATTTGATATTTATCTTCTACTTTAGCCAAAAGTAGTGTATAGAGAAATTTAGTAAAAGTTGGAGTTATGCTGTTTCTTTTCTGAAGAAATCCTAATAACTTACACTAAAGCACAACTTTTTGTTTAAAAAACAATCTGAAAATGTATTGATCAATACCAGTCATATTCAACATTAATTGATAATACTATTTAGAAAAAGTTAATAATATGTATATATTTGTATTTTTACTTGAGTAACAACTGAAGTTACACTTAAAAATCAGTTCATATTTCTAACTAGCTACCAAATAACCTGGAGAAGAAACCCACTTGAATAATATCCAGTATTTAATTAAATATTCAGTTTATATTGTATATCTTAAAAATAATCTGCAGAATAATTTACATATATTTATATTTCCATTTAGATTTAGAAGAAAATTAAAAGCAGTCTATGTATATCTTTATTTACTTGTAAATGAACTATAGAAATTCGACTTAAGGTGTAGTTTATAGTTTTAGAAGTTGAAATTTAACAAATAGTATTTAACATTTCATTTACTGAAGATAAACTACCTTTCATAATTTGATACAAAAATATGCAAACCATCTGATCTACAAACACAAATTCTGGATGACATGATCGACTTCAGAGTAAAATGCATTTCCTATGAAAATACTGGTGACAAAGATAGATTTGCTGTTTCAATAACAGTAAAAGTAATTCTTAATATTTTCAATAATTTTTAATAGCAAAGTTCACCCCCTTGATTAACACTGGTTGTTAGAAACATTGCCAAAAATAACTGTTTCAAAAACTCAGTATTAAAGCCTACTAATGTTTAAGAACAGTATTTAATAATAATTACTATTGATAAATCAATACCGTCAAAAATGATAGTTTTTAATACATTCCATAGTAGTTACCACCAACTTTTTAGGATACTATTACAAATGCAGTAATTAATAACAATAACAGTTGTCAGGAATGGTATATTATATAATATTCAGGAGAAAATACTTATTTTCAAGATAAGAATCAGTCAATATTAGTGATTATCACATTGTCAAGAATAATGTTCCTAATAAATATAAACAATAAGGCCATATATATATCATTCTCAAAGTATTTATGAAATTGTAGATATGGTTGTTTTTAAGCTAAAATGAATAACAATTTCAAATGTACAGTCATTACTAGTAATTATTACAAAGTCACCTACCAACATCGTTAAAACTAATACTAGCTTTTACTGACAGTCAGACACTAACATAAGTGGAAACACAAGTAAAGTAGTTTTAATTAGCTATTCTGACTGCCATGTTGATTTTTAAGCTTCTCTACATACATATCTTGCTCTGATAAGAAGTTACTATTAATAGCCAACACTAGTGATTCCTATCACATTACTAGGATTCGTTGGTCTGTTGTAAAGTGTTCTATCAATGGATGGGTTCTGTTTGATTATTTTTTAAAATGTAATGCAAAACCCAGTCCATGTAACAATAACAAATTTGTTTATTTCTTTAATAACATTTTATACAGGATACCTTCACTGATAGGCCTAACTTCACAAACATTTCAATAGCAATTCTGAAAATAATGTATGTCTAGCTCACAAATACACTTACTTGCAGAATTTCCTTACTAATCAATCAATAATAAATATGGTGACTGACTTACTACTTAGCTAAATCACTAGCTGCCAATGAAATGAGTAATTCATTAACTCAATAATTCAATGATTAACTAAATCACTCACTCTGGCATTTATATATCATAGCTTGTGCCAACATAACGTAATGCCATTCTCCCTCTTCCAAACAAACATCTAAATTAAAATATACCTCACAACAGTAACAATGTCAAAAATATGAGGATTGTTCTGAATAAAATCAGTACATATTACTTTTAATACAAGTGGCATTTCCTTGGCTCTATTTTCATTCACTTTTATTCTGAAATTTTGAAGTTTACTCAAACTGTCAATATACAGATTTAAATTAGCCAGTTATGTACAAGTCAGTTCATTAGGCAATCCAAATAATGAAAAAGAAATATTGACTACAATTTTGAATTTACTAAGTGTATTTACACAAAATATGGCAGGCCTTCAGTAAAATGTATAAATCTCTTATAAAAAAGAAAATCAGATGGTTACAAAAGTATTTGTACTCATGATATGTCTGTTATTTGATGTCAGGTTGACTCGGACACTGACAAATCACAAAGTGATATTCATGTGAAAAATAAAAATGCTTTTGTTTATTGTACAATTTGCATATAGTATTTAAATAACCTCTAGAATCTCCAAAATACATATCTACAATATTTTTTAGTGTCCATTTATAATGTACCTGGTATACACTCTCATATACTACAAACTGTTGCCAAATCAGCAATGTGGGGTAAAATGAATATTTGGCTTTGGCTTACCTCGCCGACCACATTTTATTCGGGAAGTCACCTCTGAGAGACGATCGACTATGTCATATAGGCTTTCCCATGGAGAAGACAACTTAGGATACTTCCCTTCGGTCTTCCTGGGATTATACAACCACACCTTGTCTCCTGGTACAAAGCTGACTTCAGTAGATCTGTTATCATAACATAGCTTCATAGAATCAGCAGACATTTTCAAGTTTGAACGCACTTGATAGTGAATAACATCCATCCTTTCAGATAACACTTTCACGAACTCTGACACATTTTCAGGCAACTCTTCATAAGGTGGG